CCCCGCCCCGCCCCCGTCACTGCGCTTCTGTTATACCATCTTTGCCTGACTCTCTCCGGCTTCTCCATTGAATGGCTAATGTGTATGTGAAATAAAGAAATAAAGAAAAACAAAAGTAAGAGCGCCCGAGCCTTTGCTAACGCCGTCGTGCGGGACCGGTTCGGGATCGGTGGGGGGAGGGTCCCGGCGTCGATTCTGCGCCTCCCTCCGCGCACCTGGCGCGCCGCAGACGCGGTCCGGGAGCGCGTATCCATGAGTCTCCAGGAGGGGGCGCCGGCGAGAAGGGCGAAGACCAGCCCCCTACCCCGTCCCTCCCCACCTCTCTCGGTGACCCCAGCCCGGAAAAAAAGGCACCACTTTAGTCCGATGACCTGTCTGCCATGTTGGTTCCCGGACCTCGTCCCCCGGAGGAAGACGCGGGAAAGGTCATTTCCAGCGGGCGGTGGGTGATAAAAAGGCCTACAGGGCCCCCCGCGGGCGACAGTCGCCCCTCCAGATCCCCGGGCCCTATTCCCCCGTTGGGAACGTCCTCACTGGTCCCTCTTCCGGGGAGTTCGCTCCAGAGCAGGCGCAGAGCATCGGCCGCCCCTCTCTCGACCGCCCCGGGCTGAGTTCCCGGTGCCCCTCGGCTCCGAGGCCACGCCCGCGGAGGTCACCGCACCTCAGGGCTCACGGCCGCTCGTTCCGTCTTGATGGGCCGGGCCGCCCCATCGGGGCTGCCGTCGGGGCCGGCCGGGGGCGCGGGCTGCGAGCGCATCACTGATTCGGCCCTGCGACACGGCCCGCGGCGGGCGCTGTCGTTCGGGCCTCGGTGCGCTGGCCCTGGCCGTCTGCGGGGCCCGGGCGGGGCGGGGCCTGCGGCCAGAGCGGCCGCCTGGTCGCGCAGCAGCCGCACCAGGAAGCCGATGTATTTCATGGCCAGGCGGAGCACCTCGTTCTTGCTCAGCTTCCGGTCGGGCGGGTGCGTTGGCAGCAGCTTCCTGAGCTCTGCGAAGGCGCCGTTCACGTTCTGCTGCCGCCAGCGCTCCCGGCTGTTGGTGAACACACGCCGGGCCACCTTCTGGGGCTGGTGCCCTGGGGAACACGAGGGGCAGATTTGGCGCGGAGGCCCAGGGGGCGCCCCCTGGGGCCCTCACTTCAGCGCCCAGAATCTCCGAGGGGACTTCCACACAGGCGGCGCGGGCTGGGGCTTTTTCCACGCAAGGGCTCCACAAGTAGGATCCATGGGTAGCTCCCCTGCTGGGTAGCCACCCCTCTCCCACCCTACTCACCCCAGCGGCCTAGACAAGGACCGTCACCAGCCCAGGCTGCAGGCAGCCGAAGCCTTCTGAACCCGACTGTCCACACTTCTATGTCAATGGCCGAGACTCCCTAGGGACATGTTTCCTGTGGCTGTCAGTCTGGAGAGCTGTCCTTGCGGTCCCCATTCTGAGTGTGGCCCTGCACGTGGCTGGATGTGCACACGGGTCTGGGAGGTTCTCTGGGTGTGAACGTGGGCCTGCGCGTCTCGGGTGGCTGGCTGAACTCCTGGGATATCTAAATGGCTGTGGTTGCCTATGATCGTTGCCGGGTGCTTGTGGTCGTGTGGCTGTGGTTCTGTGGCTGACTCTTGTGGGGCCATGGTCCTGAGTGGCTGTGGTTGTGTGGCTGTCCCTGTTGTGGTGGTCGTCCTGTGGCTGTTCCCTGCGTGGCCGTGCATTCGACTGGAGCTGTCATTTCGCGGCCCCCATGCCACGGTACGTTTTGCCATGACTCTCCGTGGCTTGTTGGGTGGCTGTGGTCGTGTGGGACCGGCCCCGGGCCTGTGGTTTTTGCACAGGAGTGTAACCTGAGCACTGAGCCCCCGTGTGGGCTATCCTGTGTGTGCCTGGGCGCACCTGCAACAGCTCTCCCCGTGGAAGACGCGAGCCCCCGCAGAGATGGCGACGCACACATGAACCCGCACTCACCCTCGGCCAGCTCCAGCTCACAGTGGCTAGGTCTCCGCTTCAGCCGGCTGCTGGGGAAGATGCCAAAAGGTCCTGCCGGCCCAATGTAGAGGCTGTAAGGGGTCGTGGGTCACTAACGCCTTGTGGGCAAGGACCCTGGCCCCGAATTCCCCCCAGGTCCCAGCCCCCCACTGACCTGTTGAGAAAGGGGTGAGGGTGGTAATGCAGGGCCAGGGGGGGCGGGACAGTTCCCAGGGTAGAGAGTTGCAGCAGCGGGGGCCGCAGGGTGCTCAGCTCCGTGGTGGCCATGGTTGCCCCGGGGGGCCTGGTGTGGCCCAGGCTGATCACTGGCACGCCAGGGGGCAGCCTGGGGGGTGAGGAGCCTCGGTGGCCAACCTCCTTCACCTTTGGGGGCCCAGGTGAGGCAGGCTTGGGGGGCGGAGCGGGCGCTGGGCTGGGGGCACACACCATTTCCGCCTTCTCAGTCATGGTGGGGCCCACCTCTGTCTGGGCCTGGGGAGGGCACATGGACCCCGAAGGGGTGCTCACCTGCGGGAGACAAGGAAGCCAGTGGGGAGGGAAGAATCAGATGCCACGCACATCCCTTAGCCCAGCAGAGCCCTCAAATGAGAGGGAAAAGGTGGGGGTGGGGGTTCGGTGGGCAAAAGCAGGCGGGCTCCGAAACCACCAGGACACGGGAGGGGACCTGACGCAAGGGCAAGAGGTACCCAGTGACCTCCTGGGCAGCGCTGAGCTGGGCAGTGCTATCTCTGAGCTGTTTGTGACCCACGAGGGCCTCAGCTGCCCAGCTCCTGAGCAAATTTCCCTTATTCCAGAATCCCTTCTCACCTGGAGGCGGGAGCGAGGGGCGAGGCCAGGAACCCATGACGGATCCTGCGGCCCCCAGGATGACCCCGTAACCTTCAGATCTGATCCCAAGACCCCTCACCGGTAGCGTGTGACCTTAGAATCCCTCTGTAATTGACTCTGGCCCTTCACCGATTCCCCCCACCCCTCCCCCAGCTGACCATGTGGCCCTCAGCTATGACCCCGAGAGGCTCTTCCCAACGCCTCCCTGTCACACCCTGAAAGTCCTCTATAATCGCTCCATTGACGCCCGCCCCCACTGAAAATGTCCCCCTTACTAACCCTGTAACCCCACTGCTGACATGATGATAAAAAATGCTGACCCAGGATCCCAAAGACTGACTCCACTGCCCAGTAGACAGGGTCATGTCCCAATCCTTCTCTGGTCTCCCAGGACAGGCAGCTCCCCACTCCCCTCCCCACCCCATCAGCATCCACTCCTTTGCAACCTGGGTAGCCGTCCCTGTTCACCCTTGGCCCCACGGCTTGGAGTGTCCCAGCAACTTCTGGGACTCCTGGCCCCTCTGTCCTGTCTTCCTTCCCTCCAGGCTGCCCTGCCTCTCAGTGTGAGTACTCCCCCCCCCCGCCCCCCGTTGAATGAATGAATGAAGGATGGATGGAATGAATGAATACAGGCGGTCCCAGGATACCCCACCTTCAGGCAGACTCTGCTCTTACCCCGGCGCTGGTCCTGCTGCCTGGTGAGAGCCCCGGCTCTGTCCTGCAGGGCCAGGATGCAGGTTCGGCTGCAGGCCAGGCTCCGTGGCCCTGATCCGGTCCGGCCTCTGCGCTCTGGGCCGCTGGGAGCTTGCCGCCCCCTCCCGGCAGCGACGTCGGGCCGCGCCTCTTCCCGGGCTCGCTAGGGCCCCGGCGACGGCGGCGTGGATCCCTCGAGGGAAAGTGAGCTGCTCCTGGCCGGCCCGCCCTCTCCCCGCCCCCGGCGGCCCAGTTTCCTCCCTCTCACCCCCGGGCCGCGCCGGAGGATGCCGGGCCGGCACAGATAAGGCCCTGGCCGACTGGCCGCGCCTGATAAGGAGCCGGGCTGACCCCGGAGGAAACCGGCGGGCGGGGAGCTCCGAGCCGGGGCCTCACGGCCCCGCCCCCGGCCGGCGACGGACAGGGCCGTCACCCCTCAGGGCCTCACCTTACGTCCTCCCAGGCACTGGAGTGGCCCAGGGTCTCTGAGGACCCCGACCCAGCGCGCCGCTGGGAGTGAGGTACCCGGATGCACGCAGAGGGGGAAACTGAGGCAGGGAAGCAGCAGCCTCCAGTATCGCGCTTGGGTTTCACCTCCGGCTTTGAACACCCCCTGCCCAAGTGTCCGCGCTGATGGGGGTGGAGGAGAGCCCTTTCCGGCAGTCTGCGGCCTCGTGACCCAGGGCCCCCTCCTGCTCCTCCTCTCCTCACCCTGCTTTGTTCCTCTTTTTACAGACCGCCTGCCGGGCTTCGCGCCACCCCCACCCCAGACTGGGGCACTGGAGGGAAGGCAGTTCTGACAGTCTGCCCTCGCTGTCCTGCCCGGCCCAAGTGTCCTGGGCCCCCAGGCCTGCTCTCCACACCACCTTTTCAGGCCCAGGAGGGTGAGAGGAAGCACCATGGCTGGGAGGGACTTCCTAGGGAGCCAGGGCTGGCAGAACCTTACAATAGGTGCCCCCAGCCCGCCCTGTGGCCACGTGGATCCTCTAGGCCACCGGGTCACACAGCCCCAACTTGATGGTCTCTGGCCCTCCTCCCACATCACAGGCCGCTTTGAGGACGGTGATAAAGAGGCGTTGGGCAAGCATCTTGCAGTGGTGGGAAGCTCAACACCCGGCTGGAGCCTGCTAGAAAGGCGAAAGGCAGGGCCCTGGGAATAGCTAGGGAGCAGGGACAAGACTATACTTTTCTCCAGGCCCCCCTCACCCGCGTCCATCACACTTTGCCTCCAGTGTATCTGGGGGCCTACAGGAGCAGCCCAGCATGGATACTACCACCACCCTCCCAGGAGTCTGGTGAAGCCCCGAGCCAGCCGGCCTCCAACCATCCCACTGCCCCAGGGAAGCGCGAGGTCAGCTCTGAGCCCCCAAGTTAACAGATCACCCCGACAAACTAGGTTCTGGGATTAGGTTCCTTTTACAGGCGGGGAGGAAGCCAAGGGAAAGGTGTTTGCGGGGGGGGCCCCACGGCTACCACGTGGGGGTGGGGATTCTGCCCTAAGCCTCTCCGTTAACGTTGCTAACCCTCCGTCCCGGAGGGGAGGGGAAGCGGCAGGCCGGCTAGTGCCTCAGTGTGCTCGACTGAGGGGCCGCGGAGCAGGAAGCACCTGGCCTGGAGCGGATGCACAAGGCGCCTGGTTCCGGTCCGGCTTCCGCCACCGCGGCCCTGTGGGGAGCTCGGCCAGAGAAACCGGGCGGCGACGCGAGGCAGGGTAGGGGCTGGGTGACTGGAGGGCCCGCCTGTGTCTGGGTGCACGCCAACAGGGGGGCGGAGGCCCCACGGACACGAGCGCACGGCTGCCGCCCCGTGGCCGGCTGGGGAACTGCAGGCGCCAGCAAAGGGGCGGCGGGCTGAGAGCCTCGTGCTGCGGGACAGACCATCCCGCTGGCCGCCGGTCAGCTCCCACACCCCCATACAGACAGAACACTCCAGATGGCAATACTGACAGCACTTCGGTCGGGCAGGGACAAACGAACCTCCAGATGCGTAGCGCTTCCCCAGGGAGTGCAACAAAAAAAGATGCACAGAGGAACGCACGCTCCAGACACGCAGCTGGAGAGATGGACGGAGCCCCTAAGGCAGATGGACAGACAGACCCGCAGGCAGCCTCCCGACCCAGACGAATGGCAGTCGGAAAGGTGACGTATCTTTATTGGCTCAGTCTACACCCGGACCAGCGGCAACGCCAGACCCAGGCGGGCTCTGGTAAGAGGTCTTGGGATGGTCAGGGGAGGCGGCTGCAGCGGTGTCCTCGGGTGCTGGGGGGCTGTGAGAGTAGCAGCACTGGTCCCCGCGTTGACAGGTGCCCTGGTGGGAGAACGGTGGGTGTGAACCCTGGCTCAGTGCTCAGCAGCCTCTGCTGGGTCCCCTTCCTAGACGGGGAGCTTGCTCGCACGCCCTGCCCGCCCCGGTTCTCCCAGCCCTGCTGCAGGGAGGGCGATCCCTGGGTGCTGCTGTGTGGGGTGGTGGGGGTGCCTCACCTCCTTGAATCTTTTACAGGGAAAGGTCTTGAGCCGGGCAGCCCGCTGGACCGGGTCCTCAGCTGGCTCCTTTCTCTTATTCTGGTGCACCCTGCGTCTCTCCTCCATAGCTTCACCTGCGGCCTTGCCCCTGTGCAGGCAGAGGAGTAGCTGGCACCCCATCCTGCCCCGGACAAGCCCCACCGCCACCCGCGCTCTCACTCACCCTGGCCGGGCACGGGGCCGGGGGCCCCAGTTGGCCTCAGGATTAGCCTGGAAGCGCTTGAGTCCTCGCTGGCGGGAGCTGGGGTTGGCGTCATCCCGGACGGCGAAGTTGGCCTGCAGCCTGGGGACGTGGGAGTGGGGGCTGAGGGGCAGGTGCCCTGCAGGTGTGCACGGACCACCTGCCAACCCCCGTGCAGCTCCACGTGCCTTGGGAAGGCCGTGTCCGCCCGGGTCGGGATTCTCATCCAGTTAATGAACATGTATCCAGTGCCCACCACGAGCCTAAGACCTGCCATTGGTAAGGCCGACGTTCCAGTGCGGGAGACAATGGGACAGATCAGAGGTGAGTGAAGTGTAGCGTGTTAGGGCACGGATGAGAGTTTTGAGAAAAACAGAGCAGGACAGAGGGAATGGGGAGGCGGGGGAAGGGGCGCAGGACAGGACAGAGCGGTCAGAGACACCTGAAGGAGGGAGGGAAGAGCCTTCAGGGGACCCGGGATGGGCACTCCAGGCACAGAGAACAGCCCTTATAAAGGCCGTAAGGGGGCGCTGCGTCTGGGCAGTGTGAGTGCGGAGGCCCAGTATGGAGGGAGGTAGGGAGAGTGGGGATGAAGGGGGAGGGAGGGGACAGGGAGATGGCGCACAGCTTGCAGGCAGA